AATATTATATTTGTCTTTTTAATACTTATTAACAATAAAATATAGTAATATATATATATATATATATATATATATATATGCAAATGATATAAGTGATGACAACTGTTTTTTTCAATATTCATTGCAACAGAATATTATTATAAGACATATTTACATAAAAAAATATAAAAGCAAATATAAATATTGTAATCCAGAATTACAAAATAAATATTTGTAAATAAATTATAAATATATTTATAAATTAATTTTTATTTATTACTTATTTTTTTCAATATTTATGAATTTTTTATTTCATTAATTACATTTGAAGAGAAAGTAATGATTTAAAATGATATAAAGCAGAGAAAAAAAACATATTCACGTATTTAAATGTATTTTTTAAATCGGAATAATTTTTTTTAAATTGCAGAAAACAACTGGAACTTTTTGAGATGTTAAAAGAAAAGATTAGAAAGAGTTTTATTATTGATATGAATTGCAAAATATTCAAATTTATAGTTTTTCACGATTTTTAATCAATAATTGTAATAAATCTTTAAATTTTTCAATGTACTTTTTGTATATGTTGATTAATTTCAATGAAAAATTATGTATGTACATAATTTAATTAGATTTACATGTTTAAAATTATAGACTCAAGCAAAAAAGTTAAAAATTGAAATTTTTTCTTTTTTACTTGAGATTCTGACAATAACAATTTAAAAAAAATTTTTACACATTATTTATTAAATTAATTCTTTTAATAAAAAAATCAAAGTCGTTTTCTAATTTTAAAAAAGTTATTTCATTATTAAATTCCATTTTAAAGGATATATGAGTATTTTTTTTAAAGAAAAATTTTTATAATAATTTTTAATAAATATTTATAAATAATATTTATAAATAAACATGACATATAACAATATAATAAAGTAAATAAATTTCATATAATTTTTATTTTATTTTTATATAAAATTTATATATATTTTTTTAACAAAATAATCAATTTTAATGTTAATTTTAATTTTTAGAAAAGTATTTTTTAAGTGATCCAGAATTACAAAATAATATACCAGTAAAATATAAAAGTCATAAAGAGATATATGAAGATGCTGTACGAAAAGTATGTAGAGTTTTATACAAACTTAGAAAATTGCAAGAAACAGGAAAAGCGGGTATGGATGATTTCACGTAAGTTTTTTATTAATGCAAGAATTATTTGTATTTATATTAAGTGATATTTTATTTGTTCACATTATATATGATATAAATGAATTAATGCAGTTAGCATATGCTGCGAAATAACAGAAACAAAAACAAAACAAAATAATTAAAAAAAAAAAAATAATTATTTAATGATTGTGATAATAATGATGATTATGATAATGGTAAATAGTGTAATCAAATATGAATGTTAAACTTATAATAGAGAATATATATATTTGCAATACAAAATATTATTTATTTTTTTAATATTTCTATAAATTTTAAAGTAGTAAAGTAGTAAATAAATTTATACCAAATATATATAGCAAAATAATATTTTTACACATTTTTCAGTCATATTTTTGGAGCTAAACTTGGATCTGCAATATTAAAAGATGGAAATCCATTAGTATTACATTATGCCATGTTTTTACCATCTATTATGGGACAAGGAACTATAAAACAACAAGAATATTGGATAACTAGATCTTGGAATGGTGATGTTATAGGAACATATGCTCAAGTAAGATACAAGAATTATTAAAAGATGAAATTTATGGCACAATAAATTTAATCTTTTTTTTTTGTTTTAGACTGAATTAGGTCATGGAACATTTATCAGAGGTTTAGAAACTACAGCGATATACGATTCGAAAACAAAAGAATTCATTTTGAATAGTCCTACTTTGACGTCTTATAAATGGTGGCCAGGAGGATGTGAGTATAATTTTATAAATAATAAAAATGAAACATAAAATATTATATATATTGAAAATTTACTTATAAATTTAATTTCTAGTGGGACATACTGCAAATCATGCAATAGTTGTTGCACAATTATACACACAAGGGGAATGTAAAGGTATTCATCCTTTCATTGTACAATTAAGAGATGTGAATACACATCAACCCTTACCAGGTATGTAAAAACTTTAAATATAAAAATTATTTAATTTATATTTTAGAAAAAACCTAATAAATATTATTTTATTTATTAAAATTAATTTATATAAATATTTCTTTTTAAATCATTATTTATATAAATTAAAATTAATTTATAATTAATTTTTAGGTATTAAAATTGGAGAAATTGGTACAAAATTGGGAATGAATGGTACCAATAATGGTTTTCTTGGATTCGAAAATTTCAGAATACCACGAGAGAATATGTTGATGAAGAATTCTAAGGTAAAAAAAAAAAAAGAAAATATATTTATTTTTATTTTATTTTATAAAAATTTTATAAAAAAGAAAACAGTTCTATTTCTTTTTTCATTAAAACTGAAATTTACCATTATAATATAATCTTAGAAGAATAACAATAATTTTTCTTATTTTTGTATCTTATTTTCTTTTTTGCTAAATCATTTTTCCGGTGGCAGTGTGAACATTCAGGTAATATACTTATATCTATGAAAATAGAACTGTGTATAAACTGGAATTATCATTGGAAATTATAATATTCCATTTTTTTATTATAGGTTTTAGAAGATGGAACATATGTAAAAGCATTGAATGATAAATTAACATATGGTACAATGGTATTCGTTCGAGTAGTGTTAGTATATGATATCGTAACTTATTTATCAAAAGCTGTTACTATTTCGGTTCGATATAGTGCAGTGAGACGTCAGGGTCAAATAAATTCGGAGTAAGTAAAAAAATAATTATATATTCGTATCTAAAATATTTTCATATTATACTTTTCAAAGAAAATAATATTATTTTATTACTATTCTAAATGAATTTTACTATTTTTAAATGAATGCAAGTAAAAATTTTATTGATAAATTATTTTTATTGACAATATTAATTTTATATTATTTTAATATTTTAATATTAATATATTTTATAAACAAGGAAATTTAAAAATTTATATTTATATTCTTTTTTTCTTTTTTTTTATTTTCAGAAAACCTGAGGTACAAATCCTTGATTATGTAACCCAACAATACAAAATTTTTCCTCATCTTGCTACATGTTTTGCATTTAAAATAACTGCTAATTGGATATGGGACATGTACAATGTTATCAATGTTGAAATGGATCATGGAGAATTGGATAGGTTACCAGAGGTACTAATTTTATATCTTTTTTACTGAAGGATTTTTCTTTTTTACTTTATTAATTTTTTTTGTAGTTACATGCTTTGTCATGTTGCTTAAAAGCAGTTGCATCTGCAGATGCAGCAGCTGGAGTAGAACAAGTTCGATTATCTTGTGGTGGACATGGATATATGGATGCTAGTAATCTTCCAGCAACTTATGGTTTAGTGACAGCTATCTGTACCTATGAAGGAGAAAATACGGTCTTACTTTTACAAACAGCTAGATACTTAGTAAAAGTATGGAAACAAGCTGTTAATGGTCAAAAATTACCAGTTACTGTACAATATCTTTCAAATGCAGCAAAAAAAATACAACAACGCCCTTGGAGCAATAATTTGGATTATATTGCTGAAGCATATCATATGGTAGCAGCAGGGTATAATTTCTTCAAATATATGAAATATTTAATATATAAATATAAATATTCTTCGATTTTTTTATAAGATTTTTATTTTTTTATAGAATTATACGTATAGCAACGGAAAATATGGATCGTAGAATACATAATGGCATTTCTGCGGAAGACGCCTGGAATCAAACTAGTATCGAATTAGCTTATTGTGCAGAGGCACACTGTCGAGCTTTCATTGTAAAAACATTCGTTGAAGGTGTTAAAGAAATAAGTTCGATTAGTGATCAATTAAAACAAGTATTATTTCAACTTTGTGAATTGTATGTCATATATTGGGTATTACAAAAACGTGGCGATTTTCTTCAAGTAATTTAATTTTTTTTGTACAATAAAATTAATTAACTACTACTAATAAAAACAAATTTGAATTTAAAGTTCTTCATTATCTTTTTTTAGTTTTGTTCTATGAAGCAAAATGATGTCCAGATACTTCAATCACGTTTAGAAGAATTATTGATGACAATCCGTCCAAATGCTGTGGGTATTGTTGATGGTTTTGATATCTGTGATGAAATTCTTAATTCAGCTTTAGGCGCTTATGATGGTAATGTTTATGAACGATTGTATGCTGAAGCTATGAAGAGTCCTTTAAATCATGAAAGCGTGAACGAATCCTTTGAAAAATATTTGAAACCATTTCTTAAAAGCAATTTGTAAAATGTTTTTTTTTTATATTTTAATTTAAAAAATAATTTAAGCAAATTATAATTATTATTTTATATTTTATATATGAAATTTATATATTTTTTTTATATTTTATTTTTATATATGAAATTTATATATTTTTTTTTATATTTTATTTATCAAAAATTAAATTTCTTCAAATCTTTTATAATTAGCTTCTATTAAATAGCTAATTATCAATAGCTAATTATTAATATGTATACAAGATTGAAAAATATTCTTATATATTATAAGACAGAAAAAAAAATTATCGCTGTAATTATGTTAATATCGATTTCTAACATATAATAATTATAATATATATGCAATGTTGAAGATAATTTTATAAACATTTAATTTTTGTTGAATATTTAATGTTTAAAAAAAAATATTTTTTACAAATATCTTTATAATAATTGTCAATAATATTTCATAGAGATTATTTTTACAAAAAATTTTTTAGGAATGTAAGATTATTTAGGAATGTATAGATTATTCAATAAAATGTTTTAGATATGTTATAAAAAGAATGATATTTTCTATACAATTTTTACAATTAATAAAATTATATTGAAATATAAATTGCCTACTTTTTGGACCTGTAAATGCTTAAAAAAAATTACATTTTAAAATTAGATTTTTTCATACGGCAAAGTGTTTATTTACAGAATAGGAGCGATGACATACAATATTGTTCATTATATTAACATAGTGCAATTATTGTTAATTTCTGTTAATAACGTGTCATTAACATAAACGCCCGCAATAGAAATAATATTGTTCAAAATTAAGATGGAATTTATAAGATTCAATGATATCGCTTTGGTATTATGATATTAATTTTCAATTAATTCATATATTATAATATGTCCAATAAGTCGAGTCAATATACTCAAATGTATACGATGATTCATTTACATAGAATTCAAATATAAAATCAGAAATTTTTTTAAATACATAATCTAGTTTATATCTTAGAATTATTAATATAATCAATATAAACGTAACGCAATAAATATTACAAAACATATTTTGAATAATTTAATCTGACAAAAATTTGATACTATACAGCACGTTTATTACATAATTAATAATAATTCAACTAATTTATGCTCGAATGTTTTGTTTATTTGTATTGATTCGCTTATTGGACGTTTATTATAAATTTTAGGAACTTTGGAATCGTTATATTAATACAGATCAAAAATATAAATCAGTATAAAAAAAGAATCATAATTTAGTTTTTTCATTAATAGGCGATATCTTTTTTATACAAATACATATGTGTATATATATGTATATATTTGTACATATATATATATATATATATATATATATATATGTATTGACCATGAATATATAATATATAGTACACATACATATATACATATATGTACACATATATAATATGTATGATGTAGAATTTTGAGGGCAATCCAAAAGGGGAGGAGCGGAGGATCCACAATACTTATTCTTAAAAAATAATATTGTTAATTATATTGTTATCATTATTAATTATATTCATAATTTTAAAATTATTTGTCCACTTGGCCTATGGGTTTATGTCTAATATTAGACAAATTTCTCACTACTATAGCATTTTTAAGGAATACATCCTCTTATAAAATAAGATTTTATTACAATTAGTATTTGTTTCTTGTCGCATAGAACAGCGCATTTCGAGTATTAAATGAGCCACATGAAAATGCAACGCATATTTTTTACTTTCTTTACCTTTGTTGTCTAATATTTTTGTCTTAAATGCAAGTTTCTGTAACAAATTTTCTTTCTATTCACGAACAATATTTTTTTTTAAATTATTTTCTCGTACATATTACTAAATAATCAAGCAATTATAACAAATTTTTAATATATTATTTTTATTTAAATAAATTATATTTAATTAAAAAATATTAGTTCGTGAAAGAAATTATTTAAATTTTTATTTATAAAAAAAATTTTATATTTCTCCGCATTACCACCCGAAAAATTAATTACTATCTAAGAAACAATCTTTTGTCTATATTGCATACGATTATTATTATAATAAAGATTATGATTCGATTTCCAATTTCTTTTTTCTTTTATTAGTGCAAGGAAAGAAGAAGAAATATTCATAAAGGAATTCATAAAGGAAAGTTCAAAAAAGAAGAAAGATGATATAAGGGAAGAAAGGATTTTATGGAAAAGTGAAAAACGGAGAATTTAAAAATATATAAAACCGATTCAAAATGAAAAATACATTATGACAGTATTTTTTATTTAGCTTGAATCGGAGTATGATATCTATATTGATATAACAAGAATAAATTTCCTTTCCAACGATTTTCGAGTTAAAGGCAAAGCATAAAATGTATGTATGTATTCTAGAGTGTAGAATAGAATCTACACTATTGATTTTAGGTACTGTGTAATATTCTATTAATCTTAGGAGAAATAGAAGAGAGAATTAATTTCCATTCTATTTATTGCAAGTAACTTATCCTAAACACAATAATTTTTTCGACACATTATGTATCGTAACTTTTTAGACAATTTGATCTTTTTTACTTAGATATCAATATTTATTTGTGATTTTTTGCTTTTCACATAACCTGTACATCAAATAATTGCTTATTTAAATAGTTCTTCTTCCAAGTCAATTCTATCAATACACTTATTTTTACTATTTCTTATAGTATCATAGAGACGCGTCTAGATACTTTGTTATAAATAAAGCTTCCAGCCATTTTACAAATCGATAAGATCGATTTAGAAACAACAAGTGCCATTATTGAAATGCACTGATTGATAGAAATGTTATCTTGTTTTAGAAAAAACGACGCGATACCTGAAAATATTTAAACCGATATTGCTATAAGCAGTTTTCTTAAATTACAACAAATATGTATAATGTTCATTTATTTTTTTTTACAAGTTAATATAATTAAAAGAAAATTGTCTTATGCAACATCGATTGTAATACATCGATTAAATTTAAACGCTTTGCCCGTAACGTTTAATGATCGTTTAAGTAAAATAAAATAAAGATAAATTATGTTGATTATTTTAAAAAACTGGGGAAAAAGTATTAATAGCGTTAATAAAAAAGCATTTAAATCAAGCGAAAAAAGAATATTATGACAGTTCTTCTAGGCAATTGGTGTTTCTTATATATTTAAATACATGGCAGTATCGACATGATATATTTTAGTTTACCCCGATACATCGGACTTTATAAAAATGGCGCTCGTGTTCCTCCTACACAGGTAGAACACAGATTTATGATGATCTTATTGTTTAAATAAAATTGTACATTAAAAAATAGGATCCTAATAATTTTATTTATTTACACGAGAAAATAGAAATTTATCCGTCCATTGTTTTTATTATAAACAATAATATTTCATGTTAAATCTGTTTATATTTTAAATGATGTTGCTTTATTATATATATTGGTCGATTCAGGCGATAATAAATGCAACAATTCGTATACATAAAATTCATATTATTATTGCACAAAATAATGATATAATGTTATATATAAGATATTATAAAAAGTATAACATCGTATATATAAGATTATTTATGAAATGCAAATTATTCAATATTCACATTTATTTTTCAGTAACATTAAATAATATTGCGATCTAAAAGAACATTAAAAGATAGTACTATATATTACGGATCGTATTGAAATTGAGGGAATAATAAAATGATAGAATAATATATTTATGGCGAGATTAAAAATTGAATTCATGTTTGTTGTTTCAATAATAATAATAATAATAAATTTGACATAGCCTGTTCATATTTACTAAAATCAAAACGAAAATTGTTTTGCATAGAAAAATGAACGATATAATAATAATAATAATAATAATAATTTAAATATTAAAATGATATTGATTCATTATACTCGATCAGTAGCATAATCAAATATACTTTTCCCAAATAATTGATAATTTTTTAACAAATCATGTATAAGAAGTCATTTTTATTGTTATAATTTATACAATTAAAATATTAATTACGTTCTACCTGGAAAGAGGCGAACGAGACGCCGAAAATATCTCAAATAATTGAGGAAAGGAAAACGATCCACAGGATCACCTGAAGATTAAAAGAAAGATATAGGACAGATAGAAGAGAAAATAGAAGAAAAGGGAATCGCTTGGTCCTACGTGAAAAAGTTAATAAATTATTACAACGTATTTCGCGCGATACTGATCGACCGTAAGATAAATACCGCGGATTAAAATCTTAGAACAAATAGATATACACTTGAATGTTTGTCTGTGTATGCATTTTTTATATTATCTTCTTTTTCATTAATTTTTTAATATGGCATACGCATATCTCTTATAGTCAGAGATGAAAGTCGTCTGTATATAAATTTATATACGCACATATGTTTCTTTTAAGATCGGAAGGAGTAATGTCCTTGCGTATACGCAGGATATTGTTTTATCCATGGCAAATAGAATTTCTCTCGATCAGCTTTTCTCTTTAAGATACAAAATGTTTCTTAGCTTTCTTACGGTGGAAGAAGGAAACAACGAGGATACGTTATGCTCTGTTTTTTTTTAAATAAAATGGCGAATCTCTTTTTGCAACAAATGTCGTTTATTTTATTTTGATGAAGATCAAATCATCGGTTGCAGAAAACGTCACTTAAAATATTTAAAATGGCACACTGAGATTTTTATTATATAAATGGCAATTGATTCAACCATGTTTAATGAGAACAGTTCGCTTATTGCAAACGCAATTGTTTTTGAAGAATTCGTGGAAGTGAATCAATAAGAATTAATTTAAATAATCTACACATTCGATTAAATAAATAAAGAAAAATCTCAAAAATTAAGATTAGAAAATATGCAAATTAAAATTAGATATAAAACTATGAAATATTAAATCTAATTATTGATGAACGATATAAGTTTCATCTCGTTAAATAAATAATTTTTTAATATAAAAGAATATTTTATTAGAGGAGCATCGCGATTATTTGTGCCATTTATTATTCAATGAAATATACATTTAAAATAGAAAATTAAAAAAAAACAAATCAATTTAATATGATTAAATATGTAAGATTAGGAGATAAATTTTATGATTAATGCGATTTAAAATACGATATGTAAGATTAGATAAACTTTATAATTAATACAATTTCAGATATGAATATTCAAATACATATTTAATTTAAATTAATCGATTTAATATTTTTAAAATTCTTCCTAAACATTTTTTAATTAATCATTAATAATGCTTTATTTGCCTTTACCAATATGCAAACGCATTGTAATTATTCATTTCATTTATTGGATTATATATTTAATTATCTTAAGTCATATCTACATTAATAACTTATAAAATTATTAATAAAAGAGAAATAAAAATCTTAAATTATTTTTAATATCTTTATCTATCATTTTCCCATAATCATTGTTTTCTAATCATCAAGTAAATATATTATTTTTTAATTTTTAATGTTTCTAATGTATTATAATTCTAATCTAATAATTAAAATAAATTATAAATTTCCTAAAAGAAAAACAAATCTTAAAAAAGACAATTTCTTGAGATAATTTACTTTTCTCCTATTAATTATAATGAATATTTTATAAAACTAGATTTAAAAAAGAGAAAAGCGCCAGTAGACTAAAGACCCTGTGCAGTCATATTGTTAAAAAACATCTTTGTAAATCTGAAAAGCGATCCTTAAATACAAAACAAAGTAAAAAAGATGTAGATGAAAAACATAGGAAAAAAGGAGAGACAGCAGAGAAAACGTTGATAAACGAGACTATAGTTCACAGGATTGGCGTCGAAGAGAAATCATGGTGGCAGAACGATCCTTCTTTCTTTCCCTCCTTCCACCGGACCAGAATGATTAACGACATACCAACAGCGTTTATCGCCCACGAATTTTCACGCTCTCAGTCCTGTACAGGGAGGCATGTACGTATACTTGGATACGTATACGCTTCGAAATACACATTGTGTAAATGCATATGGAATTGGCGCAACCTTGCCGACGAATAGTTACAATGGGACGATCATCAGCCATCGCTCTCTTTCTTGTTCGATCAGCCCATGATAGTTATGGAAAAAAAAGTAAGTATCCGAGAATTGAATAATGAATTAGTACGAAGATATAAAATAAATTAATTTAAAACCGAGAGAAAAATCAATATTCTACTCTCGGAGGTGGACCGATGCTTAACTCAGAATACTACTCGCAACGATATACGAGTAGAAAAATAGAGTGCTATATACTTAAGGGAGGTTCCACCTCAGGATGTGATCAATTTAAAAACAATAATTATTATATGATATAAAAGCAAACATCATTAAAGCGAATAAATTGGAAGGATTAAGACGCGTTCAGATGAATGGAAATTTAAGAATTGGGAATATTCCCTGATCGAAAGTTCAGAAAGAGATTATTATGACGCTTTTCCCCGACGTGAAGGAAATCTCGCTGTGGTCAATGAACGAGGTGTTTCGTAAGACCCTCGTGGGAGATTCCGGATGTGTCGTATCATCGGCGGTGGCGCTTAATTCGGTCGAAGGACATCGTCTTTCTCGGCATGGTATCGTGGGATAAAAATGGGCGGTGCCAAAGCTAGATAAGCTTTGTCGCCTCAAGCGTAGAATTCTCGATTATGATGCGGCGCGCCTGGTTTAGGGAATGCCTGCGCCGCTGGTGATCTTCTTGGCTCATCCAAAGCATATGAACCCTCGTCCTTTTTGCGCATCCTATATACGATGAACATCACCACTAATATTGCGCAAAGCAGGCCAACTACTGCGCCACCAATCACCGCTAAAAAAAGAATTTTATTTAATCTAAAATTGTAATTAAATAAATTATATAAAAATAATATTTATACTTTAAGTTATGAATTGGGATCAGATTAATTTAATTATCTTATTATAAATTTGTATTTCTATAAATAATTATAATATTTCATTATATGAAGATATTTATATAATGTTAAATATAATAACAAATTTGCAATTAATTTTTACAAATTTTTCAAGTTTTAAGTTTTTTCAAACTTTTTTTTTTGGATTAATTTTCTCAAAATATTATTTTTATTATCTTATTTTTATTATATCAAAATATTATTTTATTGTATTTAATACCAAATGATTGATAATTGACTTCAAAGAACGTTTATAATTTATAATATTTGAAATATTTTAATATATAAGTATGGACAATTTCTTATTTAATACCGTTGAATTATTCAAAATGTTAATTATGTAATTCATTTATTATGTGTGACTACGAATAAGTTAAGCTATAATTTCGTTAGGATTTATCTTCTTGTAAATAAATATTTCCGTATGTTATTATATATTTCAAGTTTAATATATTTGGAAGTTTGTTAATAAATAACAAATAACTTCTTCATATAATTTTAATTGTGTAAATCAAGATTTCGACTTTTAAAATTATTTTTTACGAATTGCATGATTAAATGATGTACTTAATCATTATAATGATGTATTTAATCATTTTACTTACAACAAAAAAATCTTGAGGAAATCAAAATATTCCTATATTGTTAATAATATTGCATGTATTTTTATATTTATTATTTAGAAAATATAGATATACTTCTCAAAATAATATTAACAAAAATTATTATATTATTAATATTTTCAAATTTAATATCTAATTAAATCGATATTTTCATTTAAATTTAAAAATATTTTCTAATCCATAATACAATTCTTTGTTAAAAAGAATTAATTTTAGTTCATACAATCGAATCTAAAAATTGCAAGATATATTTCAGAAATTGATTTTAAATTTTACACACCAATTATGATTCACTCTTGTATTATTTGTGATGATAAAACGAATTAAAAAAGATGATGAAAATATAGACTTACCTGCCAATACACCTGGCTGAGCAAAGAAAGAGCTGCTGCGGTCCTCGTGTTTCGGATTCATGATGTATACTTCGTGGATATCGTCGGTGTTGTCCGAATGGTCGTCCTCGACATCCAAGGGCTCGATTACTTCGTTTTCGGGTCGGTTTACAGTCTCGACGATAGTCTGCAATATCGTTTAATCAGTTTAATTCAGATACTTATCAGGATGTGTATTTTTAAAAATTTAAAAATCTGTCTTAACATATATATATATATATATATACTTGTCACATATTTTAGAAGAGTTTCTTTTTAAAAATAGAAAAAAAAAATCGTTAAACAATAAATGATATTGTGAATCATAATGATCTTAAATATTAGGAAATATTGCATTAAAATCATAAGATAAAAATGATATACTGTTTCATGATTTTTTTGTAATAATTAATTATTCCAAATGATAATTCCTTTAATGATTTATCTCTTTAATGGAATTTTTATCTTTGAAATGACAAATTTAATTGCCTTAGAAAAGATAGTTGATATAGTACTATGTTAGAAATTTTGGTAATATATTGTAAGATTTTTAATCTTATAAAGGCATCTTGACAAGAGTTTGTAATTAATTATAAAAACTTTGGTTATATTCACCTGTTCCTTAGTTTTACTTGGTTCGTCGACAGAGTTTGGTACTTTTGCTGGCCTTTGAGGCGGAGGTTCTATCCTATTATTAAAGTCTGTAAGAAAAAAAAATGATAAAAAATAATTCACTATTTAAATTATTATTCTATTTTATATAAAAATATTAAACAATTAAAAAACAAAAATTATAATAAATTTCAAAATAAATATGCTATATTCAACAGTAATAAAAGATTATATATCATTTCGTTCATTGTTTTTCAAGTTCAAAGATGATCGAGAGATATCAAGTTTGAATGGGAAAAACGATAAAACGTGAAGCGTTTTCCAACTTGGCAATTTTGAAAAATGGAGACAAAAAGAGAAAACGTTTCTGGAAATCGCATGACGCGCATCATTGGTGTGCCGCATACAATGCATTCCGCGAGCTACGCTTTTATTGAAAAAATTTTGAATAAAACGATGGGACTCTTCTGCCATCGATTTCTGCTCATGCTTTTCGATCGTTGATGGAATCCACATGGATGAGTAGCTTTTTGAAAAAAACCGCCGCTGATGTTCGATTGTTTCGTAGCCCAAATACTCCAATTCTTTTTTTTTTATTTTGTCTCTAAACTGAAATACTCACAATAGAGAATAATTGCGTTCCAGTTTGATCTGTAGTTTATCGATATCGAATTTTTCAAAATTGTCGCAAAACTATTGCAGAAATTAAAACGAATCTTTTTTCATATTTTTTGGATTATTAACGTTATTACGATTGTATTTTTTACAAATAAAAATGGAATAAATGATTAATGATCTTATTTTCTTCTCTTTTTAAAAAATTTTAATATTAGATATTTATATTGCTGTTATTTTGTTATTTTTTAAAAATTAATAAAGTGAGGAATAATGAAATATATTTACCGTGATCGTCGTCACCGTCCTCGTCATCTGGACCAAGACCACTTCCGGATGCTTCAAGATCGTCGCGACCTTCGCTGCCACCTCGACCAGAACCCTCCAAAGATTCTTGGTCGTCCAAATAAAGATCGTCCGGAAAGGAATTGTATGTTGTCGAACTTCCTCCCGCTGTCCTGTCTTTTTCGTTTTGATCTTTCTGAAATAAAAAGAATAGAATTTTATAAAAATTTTATTAAGAGTAATTTTATAAAAAAATTTAATCTAAAATGAATTGATTAATATTTTTTATACATATATTTTTTATATATGTTTAATATACTTTTTATAAATAAAATTGGGAGAATAATTAAATTATATTTTGAGATAAAAGAAACAAGAAAAAAATAAAAAAATATTAATAAAATGAAAATGTGGTATGATGGTTTCACATAGAAAACGGCGAAAAGAAAATTAATTGTGTGTTTTCCTATTGAGCTATCATAAAAAACAATAAAATTATAAAAACACTATTTTATTTCTTTTTACATAGTTCTTTAATGTAGTATCTTTCTTATTAAGAGAAATAAAAACAAACGTACAATTTTTATGGTTTTTATTATAACCATTTATAACTATTTATAATATACTTTTATATAATACACTTTATAAATACACTTTTATTTAATACACTATTATTCAAAAATCATAATATGATGTGAGTAATAATGTGAATAATAATAATGAAATATAAATTAATATAAAATTGTATTAAAAATTATACAAAATAATATTTCCTCAGATTTAATAATTAATATAGCAAATTTGCAGAATACATCAAGGGAATTTCAAGCAAGAGTTTTTGGTTGTCAATGTTACTGGAATGTTAGAATGATATGCAATGAAGTTCAGAATAATAAATGGTTTGATTATTACAATTGTTCTCTGATTGATTCACAATATCTATTCAATTTATTTATTTCAATTAATATTAATATCTTTGATATTTTTTCATTAAATTAAAAATAGATGTGCATAATTAAAAGATATATGATAAATTTTATATTAAATTACTTTACTTGTGCTAAAAAGAAACTTTAATTATATTTATATTTTTTATTTGAGTTAATATTGAACAAGAATCAATTTCTATTGAAAAGTTTTTTTTCGAAGTAATCAAAATAGTCTATTGAATTGTAGTATCTCTCGGAAACAGCGACATGTATGGGAACAATCGATTGAAAGAGAGGTACAAGTGTGCACATAGAATGCACTGTTTATATACATATTGTACAATCAAATAGGAACGAGCAACCGATCAAACTCTCAAATATCGAAATTTCAACGTTACTAAAAGAAACTAATCACGTTGCTGCAAAGCTGCCATCTGGCGTATCTATATATATAAAGGTTAGTTATTGCACTAGTGAAAAAAGTATTTATTGAATATTTGTTGAACTCATTATATTTATTCGATATAATAAATCTTCGATTATGAACTTATCAATTATTTTAATATAAAACTAAAGTTTGTTAAATTAAAAATATTTAATTAAAAAAAAATATTAAATTAAAAAATTGAATATTGAAAATTGAAAATTGAATATGACAATAATAATTTATATTTTATATTTAATGTTTTATATATTACAGAATATATTATCAAAAATGAAAAATTATGTCTAATTGTAAATAATTAACAACAGAAAACGAAATTATACAATTTATACAATGATGTCAATTATTAATTACTAATAATTACTAAAATTTCTTAAAATTTTTATCTTTGCAAATAATTCTAATTTTTTAGTGGCAGTCTTTATATAAAGCTTTTTTAATAATTGCATGGATTTAAGAGAAAAAAATAATGAAATGATGAAAAATTTCATTATTACAAAAAAAATATATTATTAAAAAATTATTAAATAATATTTCATATAACATAGATATATATGCATATTGTTTTATAAAAAAATTTTATATATTACAAGTTATTAATATATTTTGTTACATAACAATAACATAAATAAAACAGATTAAATTTTAAAAATAAATTTTACAAATAATATAATATAAATAATGTAAATAAAATAATATAAATAAAATAAGTTGCTTGTCATCATTCATAAGTTATCAATTATCTGATTATTCTATTTGATATAAAATTGTAAGAAGAGAAAAGTATATAATGTAATTTATTCATTCATTAATATTATTAGGTATTAAATTATTTTATGAAAAGATATTGAAAATAAAATCAATTTAATCAATATTCTAGTTTAAACAAAAATTATTATATACCAACCTTGATTATTAAATCTTAAATCAACAAATTTTGAAGTAATCATTTAAAATAATTCCAATTATACTATAAATATTTAATATTAAATCACCATGTCACCAAGCATTAGCACTATTTTTAAAATTTAAGAGAGTAATGTCTGCGGCCAGTGCACCGGGTGCAAGCAATTGTGCGTACGGATACATCGGTGTCGTTCGCAGCTGATCGATAATACAAAATTCGTCCCGGGCCAGTTACTCACCACATCGAAATAATTATATACAGCAACTTGAAAGATTATTTATGGTGATACAGTTGTCACGAATGTTTCTATTATAATATTTTACATAATCTGGTCACACGCACAGATCCACTTTCTCTTCGACTTTTTTCGCCAATGTCTGCGGAAGAAACGCAAGAATTGCGCGGGCGCGCGATGTTATCGACCTCTTTCGCGCATTCTGCCGCATTACGCATTTTTTTTTTTTTCATTTATTTTTCTCTCGTCTACTTTATTGTCGTGGTTGGAAAAACGAACAATGCGGCTACGTTTGCATGCAAATGACTAAAGGCTAAGGTCAAGGCTCTCAAGATCCACTTGTCCCGCCTTTTTTAAACGATTTTCGCGGTAAACATAATTAACGAGTTTCTGATGAAAATTAATCGGAATCAAAATGAACGTAGGATTATAAGATTACTCACGAGTTTGTAGTTAAAATTGATGGCGAATGTTCTCGATTTCAATATTAAAAATTCGGAAGTTTTTGGTAGATAAGATACGATACGCTTTTCAGGAAAGTGGTGACTGACTGCACTGACATAGTACAGGGTCGAGCCTGTAGACGGCACTGCTCCAGGCTATTCAATATAGTTCCTTCACAGATATAAAACGGGAGGACCTGGCCAGGACCGTAGCATCACACAATTTTATTCAAATTCTTTATATAAATGATCCATATTTTGTATACATTTTGTTTAGATTAAACATTAATTTAAAATGTTTTAGAAAATCGATGATCCTAAATTTCTTTTATCTTTTATTGGATCTTTTATGTTATAGTTTACTTCAAATTGCTATCATATTTTCATTTTTTTTATTTTTTACATAATACATGATGCAAATGCATTAAAATTCTCAAAGTCGATACATAATAAGATTCGAGATATACGATAAGTCATATGATAGAATGATGATCAGCTCGATATTCTTTTGTTGTAGGATATTGAAACCCATCTCAGTCATAACACGCAACTGCGTATACAATATCTACATATGGCACATCAACATCAACGCAATATATTTGAATAGAATTGAAATCTTTCATATTGAATCTGAATTCGTGGATTTTAATATGATGAGTCTTAAATTTACTTCTTATTTATACATTGATCAACATCAATTACATTCGCATCAGTTTTGTTTTACATAGTTAATAGGGGAAAGAAAATATCGGATGTTTGAAAGACGGCAAGACGATGAATTTCCGGTGAAACTGATATTGTATAGAAAAATAAATCAAACATCCGTAACTAGCAATTTCTGCCATAATAGAAAAAAAAAAAATGTTACTGACAAAAAAATATAACCTCTACTTTCTTAGATAGAAATGAAATTGATCTTTGTATGTATATAAAAAATCTACCAATCGAACAAATTAACTAATTAATAATTGTTGTTGTCCAAAAAAATTAATCATACCTATTATTTCTCAATAATCAATGCATCAGCGAAATATAAGGATGTATCCATTAAGAACATTAATAATAGAATTAATAATTTTAAGCGATTTTTTTTTTTATAAAATATGACACAAAATCAGTTGGCATGTTTAAATGTTAATAATTACAAAATTTCTACAATAAGAATAATATATAATTAAATCAATCGATTATTAATACAGTTGATTTATTCAGAAAAAACAAAAATATTATAAAAGAGTATCTCTATCTGATGTATTCTTTGAAGCGAACTTCCTGAACGAAATTTCAACCGATTAGATTTCATTTGGTCCTCCATACGTGAGAGATTAGTTCTCCGACTTCATAAAGGGAGCATAAACAGTTCATTAACTGCGTAACAAAGTACAGATACTGCATTATGAAAGAGAATGAAGCTACTAAAGAGAAAAACGGATAGAATATTGGTAAATGAGATAAGTGTGTTCGCATGAAAGAAGAAAGAGAAAGACTAGTTTTAAATGATTTGCTTTGAATTTTGTTTCACGCTCAATGGATCGTGTCTAAATCGTATCAATGGAAAATTTCATGGTAAGTTATGTTTGCCTTTATTTTTGCCTAAATAAATAAGATAAATAATAATATGGATAAACTATTTAAATCTTTTAAAATTTTCAATCTTCAAATATTTCATTTTTTTTGAGATAATTTTCTATATAATTATTTTTTTTAGCAGTAAAAGAAATCTTTTAATATTATTTGTAATTCTATGTTAATTTTTTTTTAATATTATCTGTAATTCTATCATTGTAGAATTGGTATTAAAATTTTATTTTCATGAAATTTAAATTTCAAAATTATTTTTAAAATAAATTTAAAAAGAGCTAAAATTTATTTCAATGTAAATTTCAATAAGATTCAATGATGGTGATATAATATTTTATCGAAAATCAACTATATTAATCATTCTTCGTTAATGATTATTCATAGTTGCATGTTTCGTAGTAACATGCTTATTGTTTTATTATGACATTAATTAATATTTAAAATCGCTTGACTGAATCAGTCAATTCAATTAACAATGAATAATGATGAGAGGCTTTACTGTTTTTTTTTATTGGATTTCTTCAATTTGAAATTGAACAAATCGAAATGCGTAAAACAGCCGCATAAATTATTGTTTTATGCCTTGACATGTTGGTAAAGTAAGATGTCAAATGCACAACGCACAACCATCGTCCCCCTCTCTTCATCGACTGTAA